TGGAGGGCCTGTCTTCATCTCATGGGCAGCATCCTTGCCCGGCCCCGGGCTCAAGGAGAGGAATGAATATGATGGCGGATCCAAGGCAAGAAGGATGTCACTCGGGCATAGACTGTAGGAAAGTTGGGAAGACAGTACTCGGGCCCCCAACTCACCACGCCTACCTGGACCCAGGTCTCCCTCCATTTACAGACCAAGGGGCCCCCAGAGTCACCCTGTGGGAAGAGGAGACAGGTGGTCAGTACTCAGGGCCCCTGCAGGCAGGAGCAATGGACTGAGGCCACAGTCTGGGAGTCTCACATTGCAGGTGCCCCGGCCTTTGCTCCCAGCACACAGCATGTCGTCCTGGATAACATCGCGGTATTGCCACTGACAGATCTCATTCGCCACGATGGGGACCTCCGCCTCCTGCAGATTGTGGGGCGTTGGCAGCGGCTCTGTGAGAAGAAGCCCAGTGAGCCTGTGGTACTGAGGGGGCGTACAGTCACAGGCCTCGGGTTCTAGAACCACACGGTGAGCCTCAGTGCCCCCAGGGGGACCCTGGGAGTCACCCAAGTCCCCAACTGTCTGGGTTCACTCGAGGCCAATGGGCTGATAATCTCTAGGCTGACACTGTGGGCACCAAGCTCCAAAAAGAAACAGGGAAATATATTTTTTATCCACAAATAATTATTGGGAGGAAAAATCAGAGTAAGTGCTTTCCCCCAAGAAAGGCAGAGTGAGCGGCCCTAATGTCAAATTTGACTTTGTCCATTTAATAGTGAATCCTGGAGCACGTCACTGAAGTTCTCTCTCCTCGTTCTCCATCCCACTATCGAGACTCAGGGAGAACGGGGACCCCCGGAAGGGAAGACACAGGGCCTGGTGCAGAGTGAGGGAGAGAAATGCCCATGGCACCCTGGCCAGTGTTCTCCTGTGGTGAGAGCACTGGCCCTAAGGGTCCCAGGTTTGATTCTTGGTCATGGGCAAGTACCTGGGTTGCAGGTTCAATCCCCAGCCCCGGTCAGGAAGGCAGCTAATAGCTATGTCTCTCACATCGATGTTTCTCTTTCCCCCTCCCTTCCACTATCTAAAAATCAATAGAAGAAATATCCCTGGGTGATATTTAAAAAAAAAAAAAAAAGATGCCCATGGCCATGCCTCACTCTTGCTACTTTGGTCTCCGCTCCTACCAGACGCCTCTCAAGCTGTCTGTCTCCTACACCCAAGGGAGACCCCAGAGGGACCCCAGCTCAGACCCCAGCTGAGCCTCCTCTGTAAAGCC